CAAACTTTACTTAATAATCTAAAATAATTAACTTAATAAAATTTTTTAAAATATTAAAAATAAAAAAATTTACCATCTAAGTCATATGAAAAATGATCTACATGAGACTCTACCCTTAAATAAATATATTGCTACTGAAATAGAACAATATGAAAACAACAATAGTACACAAGATCAAATATCTGATACTACAATTTCAATTGTAAAAGAATCTGAAAATTTATAAATATTTACTAATTATTTACTTTCTTTATCATGTATTTAAAATATTATTATATTTAACATTATATTATATTATTAGTGTAACATTTAAAGATAAGAGATAATTATTTAAAGACATGCTTGAGAACTAGCCTCCAATATGTCCAAGACATACAAAACAAAGAATTGTAAAAGATATATTACTTGCAAATGCTATATACAAAAAGAATTACCTTGTGATCTCAAAATATCCTGTACCTATTGTAAATTAGCAAAAAAATATTGTAAAAGAAAATTTAAACCTAAAGATAAAACCAAAGTTCTTGATAAAATATTTGAAGCTAAACAAGCTCTTAAACAAGCAATAAAAGAAGCTGAAGAGATTTTGAATCACTAAACAAAGTCTATAACTACACTGAGTTGGACAATCAACTCAACACTATACAAGATACTAAAACAAGTGAATGTTTAGAGCCAAAACACTATATGGCTATTCAACAAAAGCTTGTGACAATTGCAAAATAAAAAAGACCCACTGTTACATACCAAACAGACAACAAAACTGTACTTTTTGCATTAAAGAAAATATCAATTGCACTTTTGAAAAGAAATCAAAGAAAAGAAGACCATATAAAGGACAATCTAGAAAACAGAAGACTTTAAAGTCTTGTAAAAAAATTAAAGAAAAAGAGATTTCTATTATCTATTAAATAGATTCTTTATCTTTATAACAACAATTTCTATTAAACAAATCAGATTAGAAATAAACCAGAAATACAGAATTATTCTTAACTATTTCACAACCTTAGAAGCTAATATTCTTAATCAAACCAAAAAAAAGAATTTAACCAAATTATTTAAAAATACCAAACTATTATTCACATATCAATTTAAATATAGCTCTCAGAAGATTAGAAATGCTATTTAACATATTAATATAAATCTTGAATTACTAAAAAAATTTGAACAAAATATAGGAGATCAACCTACTGATTTACAACTAGTACTTAACAAAGGATTAAAACAACATTTGTTTTCAATATTAATATTTACTCAAAATACTATTGAAGAAATTAAAGAATTAATTTACAACTCAAATAAATGAGCACTATTCTAGAAGAAAATCATATTATTATAAAAAAAGACCATTATATCACATAATATTATTTATTTAAAGTATGGATAATTAATAACCTTTTAATTAAAATAAAAGATCAACCAGATGAAAAACCTTTATCAATAGAAGAAGAAGTAATACAAATTCTCTCAGAAGCATTTGATTTTTACATCAACAAAAATTATATATATGAAGATACAGAAGATACTCTAGAAATATTTAGAAAAATAGAACATTGCAAAACATATAAACAATTAAAAAAACTAATCAAAGAATTAGAAATAACCTATTTTCTATACGTAAAAGAAAATTGGAAATATTCTCATATTTATGCAATTACTGAAGAGTATGAACTATTTAAACTTTTTATACCATTACTAGAAGACAATATTACCAGAATACAGTTAATTGTAAAACACAAAAATAAACTTAAAGAAAAAGAAATTGACCAAGAATTAGTTGCATGACAACTCAGTATAACAAAACACTTTTATACAGAATAATAAGTGTTTGTGTACAATTCAAAGTGACTATATCATTAAAATATATCTTTAGAAAACAAGAAGATATAGATTGGTGCAATGACATAATATATAATAATATTTAGACTTTTACAACAAGATATAATTCAGAAGAAACATCTGAAGCAATTAAAACAGAAATAGAAAACCTATTTGCACAATTACTACCAAATAATCCAAATCTACAAGAAAGCCAAAAAGAAATATCTAATTGGCCACCTATAACAAAATAAATTGTAATACTATTATTAGATAATCTAATAACTCTAGTTCAACAACACCTTTAATAAACAGACTACTATTCAGATATAGATATCTTCAAACAGACTATAGATATAATAACCATTCAACAAATACTATAATAACAACAAATATAAATTAGGAAAAAGAAATATTATACTAATGACCAATTAATAAAATCATACACAAATTAATCTTTTTAACACAAAGACAACAACAATAACTTTAACCTTCTAACAAACCTAAGATTGAAATAATATTAGCATTGTTATAATTAACAAAAACTCTCACATATAATCTTTATAAAAATCAAACTCAGATACAAGAGCATATTCTGATCTCTCAGAAAGAGCATTAGCAATAGAAGAAATTAATAATATAAAACAATTAGTCATTAATATTAGTCTTAATATTAGACTAGACTTAGGATGAATTTTATCACTATACTTGATATGAACAATTAACTTAGTCTTAGAAACATTTGAAGAATACCTTACAATAGAAGGAGCATTACCAAAAGATGAATTATTAGATGATTTAGAAGAATTAGTTCAAAAACTATTTGACCTTTCAAAACAACAAGTAAAAGTTATGTCTCAACTAGGGTTACAGCCCAAACCTTTTTTTTAAAAATGACATTACTACATATTTTGGGTTTGGGAATCAGAATTTCTACTTAATTTGGGTCTATAACTAAAATCCAAACACATGTCCCATTTTATTCAACAATGTCAAACTCAAAAACCAATCAAATTCGTTAAATTAATATTAAAATAGCATAATTCAACTTTAACAGAATTATACAGCCAAATAAAATTTTATTAAAAAATTGAATTTATTTGCATATTATAAGGCTGTGTTGTAGTACAATCAAAAGAAAAAAAATCCAAACTTAAAAATTAAATTTCTCTTAAACCCATTATTTAAATCTGTTAGCCGATTTTAATGCGTTCTAAATGTGTTTATAATCCAGAATTGTTATGACCATAATAAATTTTCTTGCATCCATTAATAATATTAATTTGATTTGTCTTGATATAAAACCCATTAATTAATATGTATAATATGTATCTATTTTCTTTTCTAGCCATAGAAATAGATGATTATCAAATAATTAACTACAATTTAGCTAGTATAATGTATTCATGCAATTAATATTTTTCTTAGATGTTTTTTAATTTAATGCCCTAATAAGACTAGATTTGATCAAGGTCAGTATTTGAATTATTCACCATATTTGGTAAACAATCATACTTGATTTTGTAACTTTAAGATTCATCAACATTATATCGATAGCTGATTTCCCAAGCTCATTCATATGATCGTTGAGATTATTCTATTATTAATTCTGAACTATGCTACTGTGTTTAATTATTACAAGAATACTTTAGGCTAATTTAATCAAGAATACACAAAACTGATGCTAATTGCATCTCAAAATTTGTGACAGATCTAAATCACATTGATGTAATATTTAAAAAAAAACTAACAATATTAGATAAAATTTGTGATCAAACTTCTATAATCCTTTTTTTGTTTACAAAAAAAATAAAAATAAAGTAATAATAAAACTACTAACATCAAACCACATAAATCTTTAAAGATTTCTTACCTTAATGTAAATGGCTTTAGTTTTCACACTAGATTATCTTTGATCTAAAATTCATATACAAAAAAAAAAAGCTATATGCGTTCGCTAAACAAAAACCTGTATAAATGCTGTAAAGCAAAACAGCAAAGACTATTAATATTACATATATATTAAAACTGGTGAGAGATTATATCCAACACAATTAAACCCAATATAAATAATTTAATTTGTAATTGATCACAGTCGAGAAAGATTCACTTTAGATCAGGCACTGTCTCTGCTATAGTAAAGTAATATTAGTATCTTATGATAATGTGTTATGCATGTTGCGTACATGTATCTTGATATGCATTAAGAACCTTAATTGTTTAAATGTAAAAAAAATAACTTGACAAATATATAAACATAACTTTAGTATTTTTGTTTCATGTAATCTACAATTCGCAAAACAAAAAAAAATAAATAAAAAAATAACAGTTATTATGGAAGAAACAACTATATATATAAATGAATTTTCTAGTTCCTAACTATCTAAAATTACCTTTATTTCTACAAAACATAAGATCGAAAAAAGCAAAGGGAGTAAACCAAAAATGCCTATCTGGAATGATTATGATAAAGGTGAAGAAGATGGGCATGGGCATTTTGGAGCAAGTTGCCATTATTGTAATAAAGGCAAATAGCAACATGGAAAACCTTCTACTATAGAAGCTCATTTAGTACTTCATTGTAAAGGTCTAGTACTTGATAATATTAGAAGGAAATAGTTAATTGAAGTTGCTAAAAGAGGTGAAAAAGTAAATAATAAGGATGAAGAAATTTATAATAGAAAAAAGTCAAAAGGTCTGGTCAATCAATCACTTCACACTTCCAATTCATTAATAAATTATCCTCTTAACAATCCACAGACATTACAAAAGCACTGCTTAAAGCTTTTGTATTTTGTAGAATTTCCTTTGCTATCATCAATAATTTGTATTTTTAAGATTTTTTAAACCTTTTACAACCTAGTTATACACCACTACATAAGGATGCATTTTCAGGCTCAATACTTAATAGAGAAATTGCACGAATTGTTGTTAAGTTGGAAGCAGATCTACAAAAAAAGGAAAATTTAACTTTATATAAGTAAATATAATTAAATTAATCTGTTTTTTTCCTCCTCCTGCTATTCTGAAGGTCCTTAACACCTTTATCATGAGTTGACTCATGTTTCATTAAGTTTATTATAAGAAGTTCCAATCTATAGTTAAATTAAACTTTAATTGGTATAGTAATAAATATTTATTTTATTTATAGCACTGAACAGCTGGACCTCATCAAGAGGTGATTCACTTTATAACTATATAATTGCAACTCCAAGCCATCAAAAATATCTTTATGCTCTAGCTAATTATTCAGAAGAACATTAAACAGGAAATTTTATTGCCAATAAAATTTCAGATATTATTGAAAAAATAGGTCCTCACTATTTTGTAGCAATTGTAACTGATAATGGATCTAATGTACATGTTGCATGACAAACTATCTATCACAATTATTCTCATATCTTAAACATCTGTTGTATTGCTCATGTGTTGAACCTATTAGCAGCAGATCTTGTAAAAACAACATTAGTTAAAAATGTTTTAAAAAAAGCTAATATGCTAGTTTTATTTTTTCAAAAATCATATTTAGCAAACCATCTTCTATGGGATACTGTTTTATCTATAAATATTAAAGGTGGTTCATTAGAGACATATAGCAAAACACACTGGGTATCTATTTATAATACAATGGATTCTATTATTTGTGTTAAGCCTGCAATTGATAAGGTTTATAAATTAAATTTTGTTATTTAACAATGCTAGATAAACTCTATTCTTTGATAATTCAGTCTTAAAATAGAGTATAAGTATTGTCAAATAAAAACCTGACTTAAAGTTAGGTTTTCATTTGGCAGCACTTATATAATAACATGCCTTTAATAATAATAATAATATAATTATTATAATTATTATTTTAGATTCTTGAAGAATAATCAAATATAATTACTAACAAAGAAATATTTGAAATTGCATTCGATAAAAATGATAGTTTTTATCTTTTGTGCAAAAGAATTGCTTTAGTTTTTGAACCAATCAAACAAGTAATCAATTTGCTTGAAAGTCGTACAGCAACTTTAGCTGATTGTTTTATAGGAATAGTTCAAATAGCTATTGCTTTTAAGAAAATACCTATCAGTAATGATCTTCATGCTCTTATTATTGCTGTATTCAATGCTTAATATGAACAATTCAACATTTCTCTATACCTTCTAACTTATTTTCTTCATTCCAACTACAGAAATAATGGTTTAAAAAGAAAGTTCCATGATATTTGTAAATTGGCAGTTAGTTATTATAAAAATATACATCATAGTGAAAAAGAATGTAGTGAATTAGTAAGTCAATTAATAAACTACAAAGCAAAAGTTACACCCTAGGATATTGAGTTTTCTTCCAATTTAATGCCTGCAACATGGTGGGGAGTTGTTAAAGATGAATATAACCACTTGCAAGAACTAGCAAAAACTATGTTTGCAATCATACCCTCTTAAGCCAGCTATGAATGAAATTTTTCTATTTTGAAGTAGTTCAGTGAAGAATGTCACACATGGCTTCAAGTTCCAAGATTAAAGAGTATAGCACAGATCTACTTCTTTTATGTATCAAACTTTAAAAAAAAATTGAAATTTTATAATAATAATTGTGTGAAGACGGAATTATATAAAAGTGTATTAAATGAAACAATCTTTGCAAAAATAGATAATGTTGAATTAAATAATTAAATAAAGATAAATTAGAAATAGTAAACCTTATGGCAAATGATATTACAATAGCTCTTTAAGATTTAGTAGATCTATCGGATCTGGTATTTGGAACAAATTATAATCAAGAAGAAATTACATTGTTCAATAGAGAAGAAACAAATATAGAATTTAAGTGTATGTTATTAGTTCAGGATGCATTAGGTGATAATGATTTGTATGAATAATATTATGTATATTCATCTTGTATTTTGAATTTATTCAAGTTTTTTTTTTCTGCTTGAATAAAAATAATAAGAATTATTTTTTTTTATATCTTCAATTGAATGTTACTTAACATATTGGATGAGATAAAACCATTATATGTCTAACATACCTGACATAGGAACAATTTGATAGATAATGACTAAATAGGATATATTGAACAGAGCAATATGTTAGATCAAATAGTTACATTAAATATGTATACTGTTATATAATCTCCTCATCATTGATTAACTTTGATCACATATAATTATTGTAACTCTGTTTAAATTATAAATAAACTGTGCTGAAACCTTGCTGTAAGACTGTTAAAACTTAATATAAAAAAACATTTTTAATAAGTTGGTATACTGTAATCACGACAGTGGGCTCAATTATAAAAGACAAACTTTTTATCTTTGATTAGATTAAGTAAAATTTGTATAAAATTTGTGTAAAATTTGTGTAACAATCTATTAGATTAGGTAAAGTTTGCATAATCATTAATCTGATTTGCATTTTTTATTTGAAATAAATCCCAAACCCAGTTTTTACATATTAAAAATTTGTGATTCTTAGTCGAAATATAAATTACATGTCAAAAGTGTTAAACATTATGAAAAATTAAAAGCATTTTACGAAACCTAGTAAATACTATTTGGGTTTCTACCTAATCCCAAACTAACAAGTTTGGGGTGCAACTCTAGTCTCAACCCAAACAGAATTTTAATGAACCAACAACAACACATTATTAACTATTATAACAAGAAATATATAATATACAGACAAATAACATTAAATGATCTAAAAGATCCATTTGCAATATATTATATTAAAAACCTATCAGAACTTTGTAATATAATTATAGAAAACAAAATATTTGAATACTACAATAAACTCATAGAAATACTTATTCATATTAGAAAAAAAGAGATACCTAAATTAGTAAAAGAAGGATTAAATTTAACCAACACCTTTACAAATGAAAAATTCCTAGAAATAATTAAATTACAACAAGCAATCAGTAATTTATCACTAGTAAAGTTTCAACCTGAGAAATATATTTATATACATAGGAAATATGAAATAGAACATAAAATAGCAAGCCAATACAAATGACTTACAAGATTTTATAGAGCAAGACTAAGAAAATATCAATAAACAGGACAATCAAAATATCCTAACCATGATTATGACTACTTAGACAAAGAAACTGAAATCCAAATAGAAAACTATTCATGACTGAAGAAATAATCCAAAAAAGATATAACAAAGCATTATACTATCAGAATATAGTAGCAAACCTACAAATAGTGCTAAAGCTTAATGATAAAGAATAACAATCTTTCTATTAAAAATTAATAGAAAAATTAACTAAAGAAAAAATCTTCCTATTAGGATACATTGACCTAATTATAGAATTAAAAGAAAATAGTGAAAAGCAAAAAGCAACCTATAAAATAATTAAATATATTACATATTTATTATCAGAAATATACAAAAAAATAGCAAAAAAATTGCAAATTCTATAAATAACTAAATTCTTTAACAAACTATTAGAAGGATATAAAGAAAAAGAACAAAAATATATACAAAATCCTATCAGTAAAAAAATTAGAGAAACAACCTAAAAACTTGAAGAACTATATGAACAAATAAAAATAGAAGAAAACAGAATTAATAGTTTAACAACTACCACATATAATGAATGACAACAATCACAACTCTTACAAAAAGTTGCAAAAGAAATACAAAAGAATATAGAAGGAAATTTGACATATATGACAAAAAGACATTAAGTAAACAAGAATTCTACAAAAAATTAAAAAGAGCCTTAAAAATACATTCAGCAAATTTTTAAAACATTAAAAAAAATAATAACAAAATTTTTTGAACAGAAGACCTACAACATTACAGATCATTTTATTAATACCTTTATGAATCAGACCAATTATACTGACTTTTGGAACAATCTGTTCTTAACAACAAAAGAAAAAGAAAAACTTTCAAAAACATTAATATCAAAGAAAAAATCTGAAAAAAAGAAACAAAATTCTGAAAGACTCTTGATAGAAAAACTAGAAAATAAAGGAGATAAAATAAAAGAAGAAATCAAACTACAAACAACAAAAGAAACTAATAATATATTACAAAATCTTAGAAATCAAATAAAGGACAAAAGAACTAAATTTGTCAATTAAAGAAAACAAGACTTTCTAACAAAAAAACAAAAATTTGAAGACCTAAAAAAAGAAATCCAGAAATTGAAAAAATTAAACCAACAAAAAGAAGAACAATTAAACAAACAAATAAACAAACTTACAAAACAGAGAAGTAAAGAACACAAAAAGAAACAAGAAATTAATTATTCTTAAGTAATAATTGAAAACAAAATCTTTACGATAGAAAGAAGACTTAAAAACTAAGACTTCAAAAAATACTCGAAAGAATATATAGATAAACTATTACAAGAAAGAAGTTGAATTATCTTATAGCAATATATAACCTTAACAAGATAATACAAAACAAAATTAAAAATATAAACTATAATGAAAATAAACTCAAAACTGAATATAATTTAGAAGAATTTGATCTAATAATCAAAAATAAA